AATTTGAGCAGGAGCTATTTGATTCAAGTACGCTGAACTAGCTCTGAGCTTGGCGTTTTCCTTTAGAGGGTTAATCGCGAGTTCAGGAACGCAGCACAGAAGGGAGAGTTGCGTGTGAGTGGGCGGAAGCCCACACCCGTTGGGGACAGACCCTGCTCTACCCCGGGTGCTGTGTCACCAGCTGCTCACAGCACGCAGGTGAGCAGCAGAGAACCCCCAGGGCTGGCCAGGTCAGGGAAGCCCTCCAACGTGGAGGAGGCAGCTTCTGGATGAGGTAGATGCATGGTGGCTGCACCTTGAAGACATCCAGGGATGGGGCATCCACAACATCTCTGGACAACCTGTTCCAGTGCCTCACCACCCTCTCCGGGAAGAATTTCTTCCTGATATCTAATCCAAACCTCCCTGATTTCAATTTATACCCATTACCCCTTGTCCTATCACTACAGGCCCTTGTAAAAAGTCCTCTCCCAGCACCCTTGTAGGCCCCCTTCAGATACTGGAAAGCTGCAATGAGGTCTCCTCGGAGCCTCCTCTTCTCCAGGCTGAACAAGCCCAATTCTTGCAGCCTTTCATCATAGGAGAGGTGCTCCAGCCCTCTGATCATCTTCATGGCCTCCTCTGGACTCGCTCCAATGGGTCTATATCCTTCTGATATTGAGGGCTCCACAGCTGGACACAGCACTCCAGGTGGGGTCTCACCAGAGCAGAGTACAGGGGCAGAATCCCCTCCCTATCACCTCATCACCCTATCACCTATCACCTGTCACCTCTCTGGTTCTTCTGCAAGTCGCGGACCAGAACAGCGGTAGCAGGCTGTGGCTCAGAGCGTACTCAAATCTGCCGCTCTCGCAGGAGCGTGCTGGTCATCTGTGAGCCTTGGCTTCAGCTGGGGCTGTGGGTGGGAAAGACCACTATGCCACTTGTGCTGCCTGAAGTCCCATGAGGTGATGACATAAAAATTTAAACTGAAAGTTTAAGGTTCTTACGAGAGTTAAATACTCTTGGAAATATGATGTAGATCAAACCTTTGGATTTAAGAAAGTACGTTGTTGACAAGGTGAACTGTGCCTATGTCTCTTCCTGATCAACGTGCATTCACGCTGCAGTACCCTGAACTGAACGGTGATTCTGAGTTAGTGAAAGGTGAAACTGATTTACTGATCCTTTCATAATACTGTCTCTTCGAAGCCTTAAAAAAAGCCTCTAACAGCAAATCAGCTGACTCAATGCAAGAGCAGCCACGATCGATAATTACTTTTCCCTGTGGTCAGGCTGCCAGGAAGGAAAATGCACCTGTGCCTGTTAGTACCCACCCATGTAAGGTTTTAAACCAGCTCTGTCCGGAGAGCTGCAAACACGACCTGCTCTAGTCACCTCTCTTTTGGAGGCAGTTGCTTTGTCGCAAGAGTGGAGTGGGTATTTGGATCCAGTCAAGCCCCAAATTGCCCCACTTCAGTGCGTTTTGTCAGAAGCCTCGGTCCCTGCTCTGCTGTTGTGTAATACGATCTTTCACTCTCCTGCACAGATTTTCTTGGGCAGAAGGCAAGTGCTGACCTAGATGGGCTGGTAGAAACTGTATTCTTTCCATGCAATTTTAATTATTATCCTCCCCCCTCCTCTCTTCTCAGACATTTAGAATTAAACCTCCGATGTGCATTACCAAAAAGGACGTCGACTTCGCTGTGGAAGTGTTTCGTACTGCTTTAGAGAGACACGCAGAAAGAGCAGCTGCCAAACAGACCTGATCTGTTTGCTTACATGAGACGTACACAGAGCCCCTGACACTTCCCACCCGGACTCGGCACTAATCTACACTGGATGAGAAATGCACAGTCTGAAGATGAAAGGTCCCGTGTTTAATAAAGAACACGCTCTAATCCATTCTGTAAACATACTGTTCATTTCTGCAGTGGTGGTTAGCTGCACACCTCGCCTGGCACTAGCGTAAAAAGCCCTGACTGGGTTGACTGGGTGTCAGACTGGTAAATCTCTCATTTACCAAAGTCTCACCAAGATCAGTAACTTGTAGAAAGACTGACAGGAAAATAATACACTTGTTTGGGGAAGTAGCTTGGACTTGGTCACATCCCCACGCCCGTGGGGTGGTACAACCGCTGCTCCCCTGGCCGTGGCCCATCGTACCACGCACTCATCACCCGTCCCTGGGTGCATTCTCACAGAAGCACCATGAAGGGCTGAGCGCTGGCGTGTGGTGTTGGGGGGCTGGCCGGGGCCTGCACAGGGCCGTCTCTGGCTACTGTCCACAGCGGTCACCGCTGCTGCCCTCAGCCCCGCTACCAAAGCCAGGCCGTTTATACCCAATACATACAAGCATTTGTAAAACAAAGAAATGGCAGAGTACTTGTTTTTATTTAAATAAGAAGAAAAAATTTGAGTCAAAAAGTAACACTGCAGGGTTCAGCCTGCGAGATTTCACTTACCCAAGCACAGTCAATCGGCGGCTGCAAACCACTCTGAGCAACATATAATGAGGCTTCAGAGTTACGACTGTTTACCCTTACTACAAGGACACACTGTAATTACAGCATGGGGAAAAAAAATGTTTGCATGAAGTTGAGGTTTCTAATGACAGTAATTATCTTTATCATGGGGCTGTAATCCAGCCCTCATTCCCTACAAAATCAGCTTTTCTTTTTCTCCTGCTGCTGTTGAGATTGCACAGCACACCTTTTAGTCATCTGGCAAAGAGGCAATCTGGTTGGGGAAATAAGATGATGTTTTTCTTTCTTACATAATCACTTTTTTAATGTCTTTTAGCTCATTACTTATTTCAGTGTCAAAATCAACAAAAAGGTGCTGTGGACCATCAGCAAGAACAGTCCATCAGTACACATATCATTTTGCTTAGGCTCAAATTCCTAACATTTTAGCAACTTGAGCCAAGGAAGGTACCGTGCCAACTTGTGGGGGAAGGAGAGTATTCTGCCATGGTGTGTGATGAGCTGAAACTTCGGGAACTCCATTAATGCATGATCAGTGCTGCTGAGAAATTTCACTCCAGGGGTTTCCTACGAGACAGACCACCGCCCTTGCTGAGCCCTGCCTTCTCCAACTGCGCTGGCAACGCATGCAAAGTCCACCTCCGCTCCAACGTCAGGCGTTTGCTATCCCACCTTCTGGTTTTTTAAGCCCTGCTCAAGATGAGGTAGGGTGTGTGTTGAAAGAGAGGTGCAATACGAACTCCCACGTCATTTTTCATTAGGAATCAGAAGAAATTGATTTACTGATGTCACTTACTCATGTCTGCCTTCACTTATTCCTTCAAGGCTCTTCCACGACTTCCCGCCCCCCACCCCCGCCAACACCTGGCATGCGGACAGATGTATAGAGCCAACAGGAATTGTCAAAACCAGCTTTGTCATTATGCTGTTTAAGGAATATGAAAGGGCATGGCAGAAGAAAACCCTGTGTTTCTCCGTGGCTTGGTGATGTCTCATCATCGACAGATGATCAAAGCAGCACAGGCCCTTCTACTGGCCCCACCTGCCCTGAGCTAAGCCTTCTCAAAAGAAAACAGCAACACAGGTATTAATAAATAATTTTATCTCCTCCGTGTGAGTACACCAATTCACGTTCTACAGCAGCTCAGTGTGAGTAGCTCTGAAGTACTGTATCCCCAACCTCACTGCTGAGGTGCCAAATCCAATCCAGTCATTAAAGAAAGGTTGATAAAGCTATGAGAAACCACAGGTTCTTTCACAATATAGGAAGATGCAACAAAGGAGTATTTTTATCCCCAAAATTAACACTTGTCTTGTCCATTTAACCCTGAACACAAGCAGTGCACAGCTGTCAGTTTTGGGATAGTTTTCACGATTCTGAAGACCCACTGTAACCAAGTTTATCTGGCTTTACGCCTCTTTTTTGCTTCTGTTTCCAGCTGGTGTTTGTGTTGCTTTTGCATGTCCAGTGGCTTTTAGGTGTTCAAACAGTTTATTTCGGGATTGGAATGCACAGTTGCAGGTTGCACAGTGGATGGGAACTTCATTCTACAACGAAGAAAACACCAAAATGCTTCACTTCTGTATGGATTGTGCAGTAACTATAATACACCATTTTGTTGTGTGCAGTTTCTCTTAAGACAGTGAAATAAGAATAAGCCATTTGTTTCTATCACAGCTACTCCATTACTGATTAACATGTACATATATTAAAAAAAGAAATCACAAGTGTCACATCGTGAAATTTCCAGGAGTACTGAGTAGAACCAAGAACAAGAACAGAAGCCTTGCAAATCTAATTCAAGACAAAGAATGCTTTTGATTTCACCTGACTATACACACAGTATTTTGGGCTCTCAGATTTAGTTAATTTACTATGTCTCAGCTGTGGTTACTACAAGATTTTGCTCTTTCTGGGGAGCATCAATATTGGGAAGGATACAAGGGTACTGCTGGTCTTCGGCTGTTTAATTTATTGGGCTGGAACTGCCTTGGATACAGAGCTTTAGCAACTCTTGGAACTAAAACTTAGTCCTGCTTTTCTCTGTGAGGACAAGGGCTGATGTTCCAGTCTCCTACCTTCTCATAAAAGAAACCACAGGGATAGAAATACCTGTACTGTTAAAGAATAAGTAAAACAAACAATTTCTGGACTGGAAGTATCAAACCACCAGCCTTGTTTGTAGTAGTATGACCACCAGCTTTTAAATAGCCTAAGTAATTTGACGTACCGTTGTGGGGTTCTCTGAAGACACCTTAGCAGACTTCCTGGCATCCTTGGCTTTCTTCCCTTTAGGCTTAGCACTGATCATAGACAGAGAAACCAAAATCAGGAAGATTCCATGTTGAAGAGCTCATGGTTTTCAATTCTCAGTGTCTCTACTACTTTCCCCTGTTCTTCCTTCACACAAGACAATGCAAGTACTTCCAGCAAAATACAAAGCAATGTAATTCATACGATCAATTGCTGCTCTCAGGGTTCAGAGAGATGATGCATCAGCTATGGTCAGTGATGTGGCTGGGATCTGCAAACACCCTTTCCAAAGCAGACCCCAAACACCCATACAGTACTTGTTTATTTCCATATTTATCCAACTCTGATCTAGTGGTCGCAGCCCCCCAGGTCCCATGTGAGTAAACCTAGACACCTCTGGCAGTGTCGCACGTGACACAGAACAGCACCGTGAATGCAATACTGCAAGCCATCTCACCTTTTCCCTTCACTTTTTGCTTCGCTCACTTGGCCAGCCCCTTCTCCAGCGCTTGCGTCCTCCGACGCAGCGCATCTTTGTCCATCATTTGCCAACCCTTCCGGTGTGCCACTGTCCTCATCCACGCCAGGCACCTCCCCCTGTTCAGTTGTTCCTTCATCAGCATCTTCCTCAGAAAGTTCCTCATAAATCTGCCCAAACAGAAGAAATGAAAGTTAACTACTTCCGCTTCATTGGTGATTACAGTATTATACTCCTTCACCTCACACGTGTGGGGGGGGAGGGGAACACAAAGCCAGGGACCCTCTTAATTTTACTGTGTTGTCAGTGAGATTGTAACAGGTAAAACCTTAGTTCTCCTGTTTTGAAAGATAAGGCCACCTGTGATGAAGGGAAGAAACACCAATAAAACAGTCTCTACAGAAGAGAAGACAGGCAGCTCTTAATTACTCACAGGGCTCATTCTGTTCTGGCTACCATTTTCCGTAAGATAGTGGCTTTGCCTATAACTTGGCAAAATGTTAAGGTTTTCTGTGCCAGACACCTGCATTAGGACACAAGACAAAATAACTGAGCTGACTGAAGCTAGACAGACACAACGCATTTTTCCTCCCTCACTCTTCCACCCTTACTCTCCCTCCCTAACATTAGAAACAGTCATCCTTTTCCATGCTCCAGAAGACAAAGCAGACTCAATAGATGCAGTTTGGCAAAAGATCAACCCCAGAGCATGTCTGCAGCTGCACCGGTTTTAGTCAGGACAGAGCTGATTTTCTTCGCAGTGGCCAGTATGAGGCTGGTTTGGATTTGCCCTGAGAAGAGCACTGGTAACACCGGTGTTTGTTGCTAAGGAGTGCTTGTACCAAGTCAAGGACTTCTTCAGCTTCTGATGCTGCACCTGCGTTCCCAGCTTTCTCACTACCAGCACCCAGGGGTGGGGGACACACAGTTCAGCTGACCCAAACTGACCAAAGGGGTATTTCATTCCATAGTACATCATGCTCAGTGTAGAAGCTGGGGGTGGGCCAGGGGGCCATGGCTGTTAGGTAGCAGTTGGCAGGTCAGCTGGCTTTCTCGATCACCCTCTCGCCTGTGGGGCTCACCCTGACTCTGGTGCGATCTCTCTCTGGCTCTCAGGCTCCAAGTCTTGCTAATCGGGACCTGGTGGGGTATCGCTCAGAGGGTGGTGAGCACTTGTAGGATTAGTTTTATTTTCTATTATTTTAATCACACCTTGCTCACACTGATGGCATTGTTCGTTTCACTGTTATTAATTTATATTCAATTATTAAGTTGTTCTTAGTCCACGAGTTTCCTTGTCTTTTCCTCCGATTCTCCTCCACTGGAGGGGCAGGGGGAGGTGAGGCAGCAGCTGTGCGGTACATAATTGCTGGCCCAGGTTAAACTACAACACTCCAAACAGCTCAGGTCCCAAAAACAGAATAACAAATATGACTTAGGACTACATTAATGCAACTCTACCACCTGTAGTATCTTTTGCAGAGTCTCAACTATCTGAAAAATCTTGCCTCATCTACTTACCCTCAGGAAAACAAAACCCATACTGATACCCTGCGCTCTGTAAAGCTTGGTAGAGGTTGTTTCCAGAAAAGTCCCTCTGCACAAGATTCCAGCTTATGCTACACGACAGTGGCACCTACTGTCCAGGTTGCAGAAGGCACCACGACCAAACCGATGGACGAGACAGTGCCTATACACAACCTCGACAGTGAGAATGAGACCCTCCGATTTCAAACTGAGGAGGCAAGAGTTAACAGGAGCCCGATGGCCTGCACGGAAAACAGGAAGGTCAAGCCAATACTGACTTGGGCTATGCTACAACAGGCAGAGAGAATTAAGAAAAGCTTCAGCTGCTTGAAAGTCTCAGGGAAGTTTCTTGAGGCTGAGAGGTAATGACAGTGTGGGAGAGGGCAGCGAAGGTGAACACATAATAGGAGACTGGAGTGGTTAGGCTGAGGGAAGACAGCAGACCATCCTGGGGAAGGGTGGAAGAGGCAGGACCTGGCACAGATAGCTCACTGGGAGAAGGCGAGGGCTGAGGTAGTAAGTACAGAAGAGGTAAGGCTTGAAAAGGATCAAGCTTGAGGAAAGCAGAAGAGTTTGCTCAATGTGGCACTCCTGCCACTCAAGCCTGCAACACCTTGCAGTTGTGGAGTTTCACCCCGCTGCTGTCAGCACAGACTCATCCTGGAGTACAACAGATAGGTGTTACTCGTGTTTACATTTCAAGTGAAAGGTGGAACTAACACATCCATTCCAACAACTATAGTGTCAGTAGGATGCCAATAATCTGTGACTTCCCCTCCACCAAGACAGAGATTGTTATACCAGCTCTAGCAACCAAAGCAGAAAGTGAGCACCAAACAACAGAGCTGCCAATGCACCGAGGCCATTGCTGGTCTTTCTGATCAATCCCTTGCATTTTCCCTATCTGCCTGTTTCTTTTCTTTTTTTTGACTTACACTTCAGAATGTAGCCTTTTTACAGCCACCCACACATTTATTAGAAACTGCACAAACAGAACAAAGTGACATCTATGAGATCATCATCATAAAATAGTATCGTAGTAAGTGTAATAAAAATTTATTTTGCAGTCAAAGAATTTAAGATACCTGAAAACAGTCTTCAAGATTTTAAGAATTTCAGGTTCTCTCATTTTTCAGGACAAAAAAAAGTTAAGTTAGGAGATAACACAACTGAATTGTAAAGTTCCCTGAATATCACTATTATGACTACATACCACTGTTCTCAGCTTCTTCCTCTGCTTCTTCGAGAGTCTGTATGGATAAGAATTATAAAATTAACTATTCAAGGGAAAAAAAACTGATTACAATTTCTAAAAAGTTAACAAGATACATTTTTGCTTATCCTCTTAACATGGTATTAGAGAGACAGTAGCCACAAGTGAAATGAAAACAACAGTTGTCCTGAATTGCTCACTGCATTTAGTAAAATGCTTACTCTGCTCAGACTGTACCTGAAGGTGCTAGGGAGACAGCTGGTATTATGCTTCGGCCATTCAAAAAAAAAATGAAGTTGTGCAACTTACTTCATCAGTCTTCATTTTAAGCACACTCCTTTTCTACGTGTACCAGCACACAACTGACAAAAAGTACCAAATCAGTCAACACCGCCCCCTGCAAGTTCCTCTGTTTGAAAAATAACAATCACTACTTTTCCTTAATAGGTAACTTCAAGAAGCAGAAAAAAGTAAGACTACCGTCCTACAACATTTGAATCCAGTCATACTAATGCATGCATTTTACCAGAACTCTGATGCTAAGAAATATTTTAAATTACACGAGTTCCAACACAGCTGTAAATCATCAGAAGCTCCAAGGGCCTCCAAGACTTACTAAATCATTAGTCACAATAAAATTAAAACCAATTTGAAGTACTTCTGCTTGGGCATGTCTTCTGCTTCTTCCTCCTCTGGGCTATGTGTTGCTTCTGCATCATCCGAAGACACAGGAAAACCCCTTTCTTCTTCTTCCAGTTGCAGTCTTAACAGTGTTACCATCTCCCGATGCTTCTTGGATTTTTCGTGATTCCTCCGGCTGTGAAGACCAGCAGATCATTTGTTACTGCAGGCAGCTGTGAGCAAACACTGTTAAATTTACCTATAAATTAATAACAGGCCCACTATCCATCGCTACTGAGTATGGGAAGCTCTGCCCTGACAATGTCTCTACTGGAAAGATGACACTGACCACTATGTGAAGCTAAAAAGTCTTTAAAATGCGTTTTTTAAAGAGTTAAAGCCCAACACCTCCACCCCCAAATCCCCAACCACAAGCACTTACGCCTTCTCAGTTTTTAAGCATTTGTCACAAGCAGGGCAGTACAGACCATCAAGAAATTCAGCTGCTTTAGTCTCAGCATTCAGTTTGTCTGAGGAAATCAGTGGGGATCAGAGAGACAAAGTCAGATGAGCAATTTTTGAGTAAGCTGCTCTTAAAGCCCCAGCAAATAATCACAACACTGACACTCAACTTCTTTAGTATTACGGACACGGAGGCAGATCAGGAGCATCTCACCAAATCACACATTAGCACAAACCAGCAGCTGCAGCTTGGTGTCTGCTCATGTTCAACGGAAAACCCCAGAGAGGGCCAAGGCTCCAGCCTGGCACCCCTCAGCTGGAGGCAGGGAGTTGCACTAGTCAAGACTGTGAATCTGGGGCTTTAAGTGCAGTGAGACAATACTCAGGCCGACACAACCCAACACAGACCTCCCCTCACACAACCCATACCTTCTGTCTCTTGTTTTTCTAGATTGTCATCATCTGATCCATCTCCAAATTCCTTTTCATATTGTGCCTCCATCTCCTGCAACTCTCTCTCCAGATCTGCCGTAGGTATCCAGCTCTGCTCTTTGTACTGCTCCGCAAGCCTTTAAGAAGAATAATACAGGAACTTCTGCACTGTCTCCATGAGATGGGAATTACAGAAACAGTATTATTTAGAAGGTAACTTCTTGTTCTTCTCTGGTATTTTAGGAGAAGAGTCCTGATTATAATGGAGCAAACAATTGTCTGTAGGGCCTGGACACCTCAGCAGTTAATTTGTGATGTCAACAGGCACATCTACGCTGCAAGTAAAGCGGTATTAATGTAGGTAGGCCCTGCCTGAATTTCAGGCAGGAAATGCTGCACAGCATGGTCTGTACCGAGCTGACAGCAGGAAAGTCAGCTCGACCCTCAAAGCAGCACAGCTACTTTTACCTGCTCTAAGATCCAAACCCACAAACAGCACAAGACCACAAAAGGAGCAAGCACGTTACTCTTTGACCCTGCACTATGGGAATGTACCAGCTCAGTTTTCCAAACCAAAGTGGGGCCCAAGTTACCCACCAGTGCACCACAGTACAGCTAAATTTTGCTCCAGCTGGCTCCCGGCCTCAGAATTATCAAACCACTTGTCAGTAAAGGCATAGCTCTGCTTTATTCTCCCTTTAGGAGAATATACCCAAGTTGTACATAATCTATTCCACATGTATTTTAGTTTTTTTAATATAATTTTAATCAATATGAAATTATTTTGCAAGTGCACTCTTATTAAGAATTTAAGCTCCTTCCTCCCATTTGCAGAGAAAAAGCTCTTCTAGTTGGAAGAGTAAATTGTGCTTACACTTTGGAGATCACCTATTTCTTCTACATAATTTTTGGGGAAAATAAAAGCATCAAAACCACGCATTTAGTCCAGTGAAAGGGTCCTTTCTGAGAGGTAAATGGAAAACCAAAACTAAGTTCATTTTCCCCACTTTCTTTTTAGCAGGTTCAGTTTCAAAGCAGGCAAAGCTGACCTTAGTCCAGGCTGTCATAGTGCTGTCCCTCATTCCAAAACATACGTTCTTTTTCTTATTTAAAGGAATGATGATAACTGTTAGATCTGACTTCCCCAGGTAAGCAAAAGGACAGTGGATTCTGTGCTACTACAGCCAGTTACCTGCAGTGTGAGACTCCAGCTTGACAAAGCTCAGACTTGACACCAAAACTAATACACAGAATTTTCAAGGAAGTTTAAAGGAGCAAGTGGAGCTACTATGAGAATCTAACTACATGTTATCCTCATGTATAGTTTCTCTGACTTTGAAAGAAAAGATTTTTTCCACATTTACATACTCAGCTTGTTTGAGCTTTTGCTGCCTCCGAAATTCCTCTGCTTTTCTAGCTTTTTCTGCATTCTGTTCTTCTACAAGTTTCCTGTGAGCCTGTACTCTTTTATCCCTTTTACGAATAAAGGCTACAAGCTGACGGACGAGTTCATTCCTCTCCTTCCTTGCTTTCTCTCTCGTTTTTTTGTTCTCCTTTTTCATAACTCGTTTCACCCAGCGATTTGAGGCTTGTCGTGTGTCATATTCTTCTTTCCAAGCAAAGTTTTTCCGAGTACAGAAACTCTGCCAATATGCATAGAAAGGGTGGACAACCTGTAAGAAAAAGAAAATTAAACCAGTCACTCGTTTGGAAGGGGAGAACAGGACACAAAAAAAATATACCAAGTAATTCAGAACCACTGTAGCATTCGTGTGTCTTCTATACAGGCCACAGTTTGCCCTCAGAGTGTCAGTCAGTCACATGAAGGTTTAGAGAAACCTTTAATATTCTTTATCATGGTTTAACCCCAGTCAGCAACTAAGCACTACACAGACACACTCACCTCCACCCTGCCCCAGTGGGATGGGGGAGGTAACCAGAGGAAAAGGTAAGAAAAGTTGTGGGTTGAAATAAGAACTGTTTAATGACTGATAATACCGAAACAAACGACACTACCAGTACTATGTAATGAAAATATTACTAGTAGAAATAATTATATGTAACAAAATAATGGGAGAGAAAAAAGTAGTTACAGAGGCTCACCACTCAATGACTGATGCCCAGGCAGTCCCTGAGCAGCGAGAGCCAGAGACAGCATGATTCAGAGCCCACTAGCTCTGAGTGAGCCTCCTGGCCCACTTCCCCCAGCTTACACACTGAGCATGACATCTGATGACAGGAAATGTCCCTTTGGTCAGTTTGGGTCAGCTGTCCCAGCTGTGTCCCCCCTCAGCTTCTTATAGAGAAGCTGAGAACACAGGGGCAGTATGAGAAACTGAAGAAGTCCTTGACTTGATACAAACACTCCTTAGCAACAAGTAAAAATAATAGTGTGTTAGCAATATTCTTCCCCCATCAGACCCTCATCCTAGCTACTGTGAGGAAAAGTAACTGTATCCCAGCCAAAACCAGCAGACCCTTAAAATTGCAAACCAGGCCAATCTTGCCTAAACTATTCCAAACTGCAACTTATAAAAAAATCTCCACTTGCAGGATTGGATGAGGATGACAGTAGTGCCCAGTTACTTGGCTGTGCTGTACTTCCGCTGTCAAACTGAAAAGCGCCATCAGAATCAGGTCTGCTGTCCGCAAGCAGACATTTGTACGTGCTGCCCGAGAACCACCCTACTAAATTACACCAAAGGTCAGCCAGACATTTCCAACAGCAGCCAATGCCCAGCACAAAGAGAGCAATGAACACACATGTACATAAAGCTAGTTCTTCCCTGTATATTCCCTCTGCTTCCAGAGCAAAACAGGAATTAACATCCTGTGATGGGATGTTTCTTTCATGGGTTTCTTTTATTAACCCATATAAACTGTCAGCATATACGATAGCACGGAGCCTTGACTAGCAGAGTTTAACGAAGGGCTATACGAAGGTGCATTTATTCCTGTTTTGTTAGTAAATTATATGACTGCAGGTTAAAATTATGCCCTCTTCCTGTTTCCTTCATTGTGAGAGATACTGGTCTTTCCTTATTCTCCTTCCTTTTACTATTCATGAGTAAATGTTGGATTAATAAAATGGCATAATAATTATTTTTTTTGTTCTCTACTCCTCTCCAAATAATCATTAGCCTTCTGCATATTCAGGAAACAAGATAAGCCTAAACTCCCTTCTTACATTACTTGCCCCATTAAGCAGCCTTTATGCTACTTAACTGCACATGCACTGGTGTTCATATTATAGAATACCTCATAGAAATATTTAACCTAACAGTTTAGTATCTCTTCTTTAAGTATCTCCTCTTCTCCTTCTGCCACTGGTATTCACATGAACTGCAGCTATCAACAGGTCAACACTAATGTCTAATGGGCTACCTACAGGCAAAGGTTTGTGGCTCTGGCCTCTGGCAGGTAAGTTTTTCTGGTGATATAATAACCAGTAAATATTTGTATTTCAACCAATAACACAAGATTTCTGCTCAGAAGGGGATATGAGCATGGCAAGCAAGTCGAGTGAGGGAATTCTCCCCCTCTACTCTGCTCTTGTGAGACTCCACCTGCAGTTCTGTGTTCAGCTCTGGGGCCTCCAAGATCAGAAGGACATGGACCTGTTGGA